CCTCCGCCATGTATATCTCACTAGGTCAGGATATTTAAGTCTCCATATATCCACTAGTTCCAATATATCCATGACATTCATGATTTCCTTCAGAGCATGAGGGTGAAAGTTTGTAGTGTGATTTCCTTTACGGTCCATTGAGGTATTTAAAACAGTATTATAATCTCCCACCATAATAATAGAGTCTTGTATTGCTTGCAGGGTTGATAATTTATTATACACTACCAGTCAAAAGTTTGGACACACCTACTCATTCAAAGGTTTTTCTTTATTTTAATATTTTTTACATTGTAGAATACTAGTGAAGACATCAAAACTATGAAATAACACATATGGAATCATGTAGTAACCAAAAAAGTTTTATGCAAATCAAAATACATTTTATATTTGAGATTCTTCAAAGTAGCCACCCTTTGCCTTGATGACAGCTTTGCACACTCTTGGCATTCTCTCAACCAGCTTCACCTGGAATGATTTTCCAACAGTCTTGAAGGAGTTTCCACATATGCTGAGCACTTGTTGGCTGCTTTTCCTTCACTCTGCCGTCCGACTCATCCCAAACCATCTTAATTGGGTTGAGGTCAGGGGATTGTGGAGGCCAGGTCATCTGATGCAGAACTCCACCACTCTCCTCCTTGGTAAAATAGCTGTTACACAGCCTGGAGGGGTGTTGGGTCATTGTCCGGTTGAAAAACAAATGATAGTCCCACTAAGCCCAAACCAGATGGGATGGCGCATCGCTGTGGAATGCTGTGGTAGCCATGCTGGTTAAGTGTGCCTTGAATTCTAAATAAATAACAGACAGTGTCACCAGCAAAGCACCCCCACACCATAACACCTCCTCCTACATGCTTTACGGTGGGAACTACACATGCGGCGATCATCCGTGTTTCTTTGCCCATGGGAGAATTATATTTTGCCCCCCCCAGTCCTTATTCCACGCAACTTCATCTAAAATTGTTGAATGAGTTTCCTGTAAACAATAGATATTATATTCCTTCTCTTTGAGCAAGGTAAATATTGTTATTCTTTTCTTATTATCTGCTAAGCCATTACAATTATAACTGGCTATACTTTTTTCACCATTTACCATAATGAGATACAAGTTTCAAATCTATTTATCATAATATATGTTTGTACATTTACCATTAAAAAGTACCTTAGTGATTCAGTGTCCATATAGCTGTACCATGATATTTGCATTGCTACCAAGTAACCCTCCAATTGTTCTCCACTATTCCATCCGCTAAAGCCCCTCCCCATCCCAAGTTGGATTGTCATCCCAGTGACTGGCAGACCACCCTGTTTCCCCGGATCCCTAGGCCCCCCCGAGAGGCCAGGACCCATCCTTCGAAAACATCACACAGTGCCACCCACAGAACAGAAGCAGATCAACCTCTAAAAGTATTTCCAATGCTCTCACCTCAATTTGTTTTATATATAGCTATTAGAAATATCTATTCAAATATCTTGCGTATCTTAATTTCCATCATTAACAATTAATATGCGTAATAATGTCTGCAGTTCATGCAAAGGATTGTTACCTATAACTAGGATTGCCATTGCATTACATTACATTTTTGTCAAGCAATTATTATTTTAGCAAACAATTATTGTGATTCATCCTATATTGTCCCTAACATCCTTACCCCCTTGCCACAGATGTGGGATACATACACACACACACATTTTTGCATGTGTTTCTGTGTGTGAGTAAAGGTGATCTAGAATTGTGCCTCTGGGTGTGCATTTTCTTGTTTGCTTAAGGCCCTATACAGCTCGTTGAGTGTGGTTTTAGTGCCAGCATCGGTTTCTGGTGGTAAATAGACAGCTACGAAAAATATAGATGAAAACTCTCTTGGCAAATAGTGTGGCCTGCAGCTTATATTTGAACTCCGGCGAGCAAAACCTTGAGACTTCCTTAACATTAGAGATCGCACACCAGCTGTTGTTAACAAAGAGACACACACCTCCCCCTTTAACCTTACTCAAAGCTGCCGTTCGGTCTTGATGATGCATAGAAAAAACAGCTAGATGTACAGTATGTTATCCATGTCCTTGATCAGCCACTACTCAGAGAAACATACAATATTACAGTTCTTCAGGTCCCGTTGATAGGATAGTCTCGAACTGAGCTTGTCCAGTTTGTTCTCTAGTGATTAGTCGTTCACCAATAGAACGGAGGGTATTGGCGGTTTCTTTGCATAGTCTCGTCAGAGAGCCCTTTTGATTGCCTCTCTTGTGCTGTCTCTTCCTATTTCGAGACCTGGGGATTAGGGCCTGTTCCAGAATGAGCAGTACATCCACAGCTGTCGACTCGATGTCGGAAATTTTATGTACAAAATAGTTACGATTAAAAAAAAAATGCAGATTTGGTCAGGAGCTTTTTACTCCATACATGTACTTTTTACTCCATACATTTTTACTCCATACATGTACTTTTTACTCCATACATTTTCCCTGACACCCAAAAGTACTCGTTACATTTTGACAGGAAAATGGTCCAATTCACACACTTATCAAGAGAACATCCCTGGTCATCCCTACTGCCTCTGATCTGACGGACTCACTAAACACAAATGCTTTGTTTGTAAATTATGTCTGAGTGTTGGATTGTGCCCCTGGCTATCCATCAATACAAAAATATATAAAAAATTGTGCCGTCTGGTTTGCTTTATATAAGGAATTTGAAATGGTTTATACTTTTACTTTTGATACTTACATTCATTTTAACAATTCCCTTTACTTTTGATACTTAAGTAAATTTAAAACCAAATACTTTTAGACTTTTAGTCAAGTGATATTTTACTGGGTGACTCACTTTTACTTGAGTCATTTTCTATTAAGGTATCTTTACTTTTACTCAAGTATGACAATTGAGTACTTTTTCCACCACTGACAATAAATGGATGTACTTTAATTTTTTATATTATATTATTTAAACCAGCATTTCTTTAGAAAGTTTACACCAATACTGGTATGTTGAAAGCTATTGTGTAGACTATATGTAAATAAATACAATTTTAATAAAATACAAATATATGTAATTGGAATTACTTAACAGAGTCTACAAAACTTAAATTGGTCTATTGTTATTTGTAAGTCGCTCTGGATAAGAGCGTCTGCTAAATGACGTAAATGTAAATGTAAATGTAAATGTGCTGGGTAACGGGTTTAATACAGAGTGCTGGTGACTCCTTACTCCACCCATTACATTCACTGCAATGCAATACACTACAAGTGAATTACATATTGTCTTATAGAGAAAAAACAACTATGTGCCGATGTAAAAGTTGGGTTGGGATTACTCACTAGTAATCTGTAGAATCTGTATATGGTATTATTTCTTGAGGGACTGAGATCTACATACCCAGCAGCACTTTTTACTCCACCCATTCCAGTGGTCCCAATGCAATACATTGTAGGCCTATACATAACATATTGGCTTATAGAGAAAACACTATTTTATGTGCCAAGGTAAAAGTATTGCTGGCCTTTTACTCCACCTATTACATTGGTCACAATGCAAATCACTGGATATGCATTACATACTGGCTTATAGAGAAAAAACTATTATTTGTGCCGATGTAAAAGTAGGGTTGGGAGTACTCAGCACGGTCTGTAGAATCTATATATGGTGTCATTTCATGGGGCATTGAATAACCCAAACTTTTATTAAATGTTTTCCCTTTTCTTTGGCGAGTCTTAACTTTATGGTGCTCCACAACATCCCTGCCACCCCCATACAATATATGTGTCAAATGTAGTAGTTCAACAGCATTATTGACATTTATCATTTGTTGTGTCAAGTTATTCTGATCTTTGCCTTTATCAGTACGTGCAACTCCACAGTTAAGTCTATCACCACAGACATCAGCGTCACTATCAGTACAGTCAATTCCTACTACAACACTGCGTCCACCCTTTACGACTTTAGGCTCAAGCAGCTGATTGACACCAAAGTCCAGCACAGACTCCACCACTCCAGCTATGTAGTGCTTGCCTCAGCACCTTACTGTCACTGCCTACCCCTTCCTCAAACCCTGACTCTAACCCTCCACATAACTCTTTCCTCTTGTCGCTGCCTTTTCCTTCCTTTAGATGCATAACATGAGCACATAGGTCTATATCACCACTCATCTTTCCATAGCCACTTAAGCCGATTGACACTCATCCTTTCTGTGTTTTTTCTAGCAGTTGGCCATTGCAGAATTTAGCCTACTTCTTTCCAAAATGCGCTATCAATCTTTTCACTGTGCTACATAACAGAATGAATTGCAATTGAAATAGCAGGATAATCTTGAGGTCTCTGTGTCCTCTCTTTCAGTGTCTGAGCATGCCCCGACCTTGCCCTGCTGCTTGCCCCATTCTCCCCCTGACCACTCCATGACCTTACCCATGAAATGACACCACATATAGATTCTACAGACCCTACTGAGTACTCCCAACCCTATTTTTACATTGGCACAAATAATAGTTTTTTCTCTATAAGCCAGTATGTAATGCAAATACAGTGATTTGCATTGTGGCCAATGTAATGGGCGGAGTAAAAGGCCAGCAACACTCTATTATTCAGTGCCCCGTGAAATGACACCATATATAGATTCTACAGACCCTACTGAGTACTCCCAACCCCACTTTTACATCTGCACAAATAGTATTTTTTTTTTAACTATAAGCCCAATATTGTCAACCAGTCTGAGCATTGTATTTTTCAATAGTGGTTTTAAAATAATGTTTTAAAAATAAATTCCTTCTTGCATTTGATAATAAGCACAATAAAAATCAACATTGATTAAAATGTAATATCTTTAGAATGAGTTATTCACCTTGCAATGTTAAGAAATGCAGGCTTTTATTTTGAGGGTTTCCTCATTACCATAGGAAAGTGACGTCATCATTAGTGCAGCTAGCAGAATAGTAGTCGTGTTTGCGCCTCTATGGTTTGCCCACACTGGGAGTGCAGGCTAAACATCTGAGAATACAAAGAAAGAGGCACTATGGCCGAAATATCACTTTATCTCACCAATGTCAACGTGTCTTTGGGGCAAACGATGGACGTAGAGAAGGTAAGCTCGGCAAGTCATGATTATGAAAAGTGTTTTTTTATTATCAGTGCTTTATAATGAGTGTTTTCAGACCAGCTAATACAATTCAGTGGATCTAGCTATGTTTTCGTCGCTGTCATCGTCTCATGATGATGCTTAAATTATTAACCGAATTCAGATGTAGGCTATGCTACCGGTATCTCAAATTCTGACATTATTGATGCACATAGAATAGGGTTTACTTCCTTGATAAAGTAGTGTGTTTTATGATGATCTACATTTCTATAAGCAGCCTGTCACCAACACGCACTGTTCACTGTGCGTTGTGTGCGTGCGGCTGTGCGAGCGTGCATGTGTGTACATTCCTATTGTTTTTCTTTATTATATCCCTGCCTATATGTTGCTGTGAATCCTCTCTTCTGTGGGTATCTCTTGGTCTGTAGTGACACTATATCTGTCTGTCTGTCCCAGAGCCCAAGCACAGGGAAGGACTTTGAGAGTGTGGAGCTGGGAGACCTGGAGAAGAGAGAAGAGAAAGCCCCACGGAGGATAATCCATTTCTCTAATGGAGAGACCATGGAGGAATACAGTACAGACGAGGAGGAGGAGGACAAGGAACCAGAGAAGAAGGACCTACTGTCCCCCCCTGTCGACGCGTTGAAGGTGTGTGTGTGTGTGTGTGTGTGTGTGTGTGTGTGTGTGTGTGTGTGTGTGTGTGTGTGTGTGTGTGTGTGTGTGTGTGTCTAGTTCCTAGAATATGTGTTCCAAAACCTGGTAATAACCCATGTGTTTGTGTGTGTCAGACCAAGCTGACCTGGGGCCCGTACTTCTGGTTCCACATGTGGAGAGCTGCTACATCTACTGTCTCAGGTGGGTGCCTGAAATGAGACAATATGGATTATCAACCTCTAGGATTGATAGCCTTCTCCTGCCATACATAACCTTGATACCACCTTGAATACTGTGGCTAAGATAGCGCCGACGGATGGCGTTTTGTCTCGAGCTCCTACAAAACATTGCAGGTTTCTTCTTTTTCTAGTGTTCTTTTCTAGTGTTTTTCTCTAATTTTCTTACTCAGTTTGTTTTGTGCATTAGTAGTCCCGTGTAGCTCAGTTGGTAGAGCATGGCGTTTGCAACGCCAGGGTTGTGGGTTCGTTTCCCACGGGGGGCCAGTATGAAACAAAACAAAAAATAATAATAAGAACTCACTAACTGTAAGTCGCTCTGGATAAGAGCATCTGCTAAATGACTAAAATATAAAAATGTAAAAATTACTTCATACCCTCGGTCAGAACTATTGGAATATGAATCGCTGGGTACTCACCGTCCACCCGACCTTCCCAAATTCCTAGAGACTGCAGAACAATGGGCTAGCCTCTTCGGTGAGACCTCGGCTGCCTGGGAGTGCTAGTGAAGAGAAGGAGAAGGAGACGCCACTCCATTCCATCATCATGAAGTGCTTCGAGAGGCTAGTCAAAGACCACATCACCTCTTCCCTCACTGACACACTCAACCCTCTCCAATTCGCCTACCGCCCTGACAGATTCACGGACGACGGAATCGCTATTGCACTGCACGCTGCCCTCAACCACCTGGACAAAAGGAATGTATATGTGAGGATGCTATTTATCGACTACAGCTCGGCCTTCAATACCATAGTGCCCTCTAAGCTTACCACAACGCTCAAGGCCCTGGGACTGAACTCCTCCCTATGCAACTGGGTCCTGGACTTCCTGACGGGCCGCCCCCAGGTGGTGAAGGTAGGCAACATTACCTCTTCGACAAGGGTGCATCCTTAGTCCCCTCCTGTACTCCTTGTATACCCATGACTGTGTGGCCTCACACAGTTCGAACTCTGTGGAGACGGTCAAAAACAAAAAGTTCCTCGGCATACACATCTCCGAAGAGCTGAAATGGTCAAACCACACAGGAAAGAAGGCACGGCAGCGACTCTTCAAATCAAATCACATTTATTTTGCCATATGCGCCGAATACAACAGGTGTAGACCTTACAGTGAAATGCTTACTTACAAGCCCTTAACCAACAATGCAGTTGAAATAAAAATAAGTGTTAAGTAAAAAATAGATAAGTAAAAAATTCAAATAAAAAATAATTAAAGAGCAGTAGTAAAATAAAATAACAGTAGGGAGGCTATATACAGGGGGTACCGGTACAGAGTCAATGTGCGGGGGCACAGGTTAGTCGAGGTAATTGAGGTAATATGTACATGTGGGTAGCGTTAAAATGACTATGCATAGATAATAAACAGTGAGTAGCAGCAGCATAAAAAAAGAGGGGGTGGGGTGGACAATGCAAATAGTCCGGGTAGCCATGATTAGCTGTTCAGGAGTCTTATGGCTTGGGGGTAGAAGCTGTTAAGAAGCCTTTTGGACCTAGACTTGACGCTCCGGTACCGCTTGCTGTGCGGTAGCAGAGATAACAGTCTATGACTAGGGTGGCTGGAGTCTTTGACAATTTTTAGGGCCTTCCTCTGACACCGCCTGGTATAGAGGTGCTGGATGGCAGGAAGCTTGGCCCCAGCTTGGCCCCAGGATGCTGTAGAAATTATTCCTGTTCCCGAGGGCCCTCACAGTGTTTTAGACGAGCACCATCGAGAGCACGCTGTCGGCCTGCATCACAGCCTGCAATGGCAACTCCACCACCACAGACCACAAAGCGCTACACCCAATCAGCACCATTGGGTGCACACTGCCTGCCCTCCAGGACAGCTACAACACCAGGTGTCGCAGGAAGGCCAAGAAGATCATCAGGGACCCCAGCCACTCGAGCCATGGCCTGTTCTCCCCGTTTCCATCACTCAGACGTGGGCAGCATAGGAGCATCATGGCAACAACTTTAAGAATGGCCAATAACTTCTACCCCCAGACAATCATGCTGCTGAATAGCTATCACTAGTCAGCTACCTGCTATTGTTGTATTTCACTTTATCCTGCATTGTTGTAGTTCAGAGCTCAATAATTTCACTGTACCCTGTATTTACATCTGCAACCCTGTACATGTGACTATTAAACTCTCTAATCTAATACTGTGCTATTGGTGAAACTCCAAAACGTATCTTTCAGCTTGTGACTATCTTGGGGAGAGGATGGCCTCACTCTTTGGAATCACGTCGGCCAAGTACCAGTACGCCATCGACGAGTATTACAGGATTAGGAAAGAGGTATGTTCACAACAAACAAATGAGTCATCACTAAGAGGACTTACATCTTGAAACGGATGCCTAAAGGGCATGACATAAAAAAGGTAATAGAAGTGCATAAATGCTTTGCATGTGTATGTGTCTATGAGAGTATAAAAGTAGAAGTAGAAGAAGAAGAAGAAGAAGATTGTTTCTATGAACACTCCAATAACTCCCTATACGAGTATTACAGGATCAGGAATGAGGTAGGCCTATATATACTGAACACAAATATAAACGCAACATGTAAAGTGTTGCTTTCATGAGCTGAAATAAAAGATCCCAGAAAATGTCCATACACACAAAAAGCTTATTTCTCTCACATTTTGTGCACAAATTTGTGAGTATTTCTCCTTTGCCAAGATAAGCCATCCACCTGACATGTGTGGCATATCAAGAAGCTGATTAAACAGCATGATCATTGCACAGGTGCACCTTGTGCTGGGGACAATAAAAGGCCACTCTAAAATGTGCCGTTTTTTCACGACACAATGCCACAGATGTCTCAAGTTTTGAGGGAGCGTGCAGCTGGCATGCTGACTGCAGGAATGTCCACCAGAGCTGTTGCCAGATAATTTAATGTTAATTTCTCTACCATAAGCTGCCTTCAACGTCGTTTTAGAGAATTTGGCAGTATATCCAACTGGCCTTACAACCGCAGACCACGTGTAACCACGCCAGCCCAGGACCTCCACATCCGGCTTCTTCATCTGCGGAATCGTCTGAGACAAACTGTCAGAAACCGTCTCAAGGAAGCTCATCTGTGTGCTTGTCGTCCTCACCGGGGTCTTGACCATAACTAATTTCAGTGGGCAAATGCTCAACTTCGATGGCCACTGGAGAAGTGTGCTCTTCATGGATGAATCACGGTTTCAACTGTACCGGGCAGATGGCAGACAGCGTGTATGGTGTTGTGTGGGCGAGCGGTTTGCTGATGTCAACATTGTGAACAGAGTGCCCCATGGTGCTGGTGGGGTTATGGTATGGGCAGGCATAAGCTACGGACAACGAACACAATTGCATTTTATCGATGGCAATTTGAATGCACAGAGATACCGTGATGAGATCCTGAGGCCCATTGTCGTGCCATTCATCCGCCGCCATCACCTCATGTTTCAGCAAGATAATGCACTGCCTCGTGTCACAAGGATCTGTACACAATTCCTGGAAGCTGAAAATGTCCCAGTTCTTCCATGGCCTGCATACTCACCAGACATGTCACCCATTGAGCATGTTTGGGATGCTCTGGATCGACGTGTATGACAGCGTGTTCCAGTTCCCACCAATATCCAGCAACTTCGCACAGCCATTGAAGAGGAGTGGGACAACATTCCACAGTCCACAATCAACAGCCTGATCAACTCTATGCGAAGGAGATGTGTCGCACTGCATGAGGCAAATGGTGGTCACACCAGATACTGATTGGTTTTCTGATCCACACCCCTACCTTTTTTAAAAGATATCTTTGACCAACAGATGCAAATCTGTATTCCCAGTCATGTGAAATCCATAGATTAGGGCCTAATGAATTCATTTCAATAGACTGATTTCCTTATATGAACTGTAACTCAATAAAATCTTTGAAATTGTTGTATGTTGTGTTTTATATTTTTGTTCAGTGTAGTTCAAATTAGTATAAGATTACTAGTCTCACATTGCTAGACATTACACCATATTCTCTAGCCGGGGTTTAGGCTATAAGACCACTAAGGCAGAGTCACATTCACTTGAAATGGATGCCTTAAAAGGGCATAGATGATTTACATGTTTATGTGTTTATGAGCATTCCAATAACTCCTTGTCTTTCCTTCCCAGAAGGAGGAAGAAGATGAGGACAACCGATTATCAGAGGAGGCGGAGCAATACTTTGAAGAGAATCAAGACGAGAAGATCCAAGGACCACTGACGGATCAGCCAGAGGGAACCGCCCCCCACGCCACTGTCACCTATCAGGTTGAGAATGAGCCTGAGGCCACACCCACTGCCATTAGAGTTCCCGCCATCGTCACGACAACAGACTGATTTCTGGAGTGACAGTTATGTGTTGTGCAGGTTTTTTTGTTTTCATTTGTCAAGGAGGAGGGGGAGCACTAGTGTCTGTCTCTCAAGGCACTTGTTTGGTTGTGGCTACAAAAGAGACATCTATAAGCCTGGGAGTCAGACCTGTTACGGTTTTAGCCCACTCCACTGTCGTTGTCATGCCATTGATACCAAACTATAAAGAACAATGACATGATAACAACAAAGGACAATGATATGATAGTGACAAAGATATTGTCATGTTTGTAATCAAACACATAGGAGTTGGTTAAAGCAGCAGCTGATCCGACTACAAGGGCTAGCCTTCATTGGGCAGTGCAGTGCCACTGTCTTTCTGTGGATTTATAGTGCAGGCACAGTGTGGTACGATAGCAGTACTGTATTGTTAACTATACAGTATGTGTCTCCAGTGGCCTTACCCCTAACTGGAGGCAGGTTCTAACATTCCATCCTGGTGCCTATCTGTCTACAGTACCTGGTGCCTCCAAAGGGCTGTGTTTGGGCCTAAACCACAGAACCAAGTAGTAGCCTAAACTTTAATGCACTCTAACACATGAAGCCTTCCTGCTTTATACGCTACTACTAGCATGTCATTCACTTTGTCTTACTTTAGAAAACATTTGTTTAAATACTTGGCTGAGCACAGACCCAGAAATGGTGTTTGCCTGTGTAGCCGTACTCACTTGTGGTCACTTGGTGACTTGTAATTTGGAACATCTTTCCAGGCCATTTTGTAAAGTAAAGGGAGTATATGATCTATTTCATATTTGTTGTTACGAATCCATGCCTTATGCACTGTTGCCCCTGTTGTAAATTAACTTTATATATTTAAGACCTTTTTTGATATTCACATATTTATTACATTTTTGTACTTACTGAGCACTTTTTTACTTTGTTTTTAATGTAACATCACATTGATAAACTGTTAATAAATATACTGTTAACTATGCTTTAACTACAGTATGTTATCTCGTCTGTCTGTCATGTTGGTCAGTCAGCTAGGATCGGTGGTGGATACTCTTGTCTGTCTGTCTGCAGAAGTCTCATGTGGCTGTACTGTGTCTGTGAGTGAGTGACACGTGATTTTCTTTGTCTTCATTGGTAACAAAGACTCCTGTGTCCTCTTCTAGGGCTGTTTGAGGTGACAGATTCTGTTGGCTAACCTCACAATGCAGGCATTCTCAGGTCAGGTCAGTGTGGGCTTCTCTCTCTAGTCCAGAATGACCTACAGCCGTGACCTAACTCACCACATTGAGCGATAGCAGGATCTAGCAAACTATACACAGAGACCTGCTGATCTCCATTTACTTGCCATAGCACATATTGTCTCATAGGAGAATGTTAGAATGTAATTTCTCTATGGATCATAATAGCCTAAAGTAACAGTATATTTACTCTATACACAGTTTTGGCAAATCAGTCGTTTTAGGCTAAGCTCAATTTTTCTTTTTTATGGCACTAGGCCTATGTAGTACTGTAGGAAAAAGTACGAAAATGTATGCACTCACTCTGGATAAGAGCGTCTGCTAAAGATGTAACTATAAATGTACTGTAGTTCTTGATTGCTGTACCATGGTGAGACTGAGGCAGTTCATCGTTACTCAGCGTTGCGTAGCGTAGGGGGGTCTGTGCCCTGAAAAATCCCAGCCAGACCACACACAGACAGCCTTATACAGCAAACAAACCCTCAGTCAGTCCACTGTCCCATCAGCACGGCCGGAAACAGTGACACTCACGGACAGTTGACTATGCCAACAAAAGAAGACAGACAGACAGAGAGAGAGTGGCACTCATACACCAGACCGAGACTGGCAGTGGATCATGATGGATTTTGGGGTTTGGATGATATGTTAGAGTAACAACTCTGTAACTATTGGGTGACCAATGGAGACTGGCTATACACTGTCATTACACTACATTCTAGAAATTCTAATCTACAGTGGCCAAAGGCTGGCAATACACACATATTTCACTAGAGGGTGGTATTGTACCATTACAAAGGAGGCTGAGACAGGGGTTACTGTGGGACAACTAAATTAGTTGTAGAGAGTGGAGCTCAGCCACAGTCAGCACAGGACAAAGTCAGCACTCGTGTTTTTTGTTTGTCTTTATTAGTCTAATAGAGCCAAACAAAAAACACGTGGGCTGCACTCCACTGTTTGATGACACAAGAAGAGATATGAGGAAAGGATGCAACATGGAGGATAGACTGTAGTGGAGGTTTCAATAGGAAGCCTAGTTTAGGACTTGTATGGGAGCAAGTCCTTTGTAGGAGTTGCTTGACCCTTCTCTACAGGATGTGTTGGCAGTTGGAAGTTGGTTTGGTTTGTCATTTGTGTGTGAAGAGAAGAGAAGACCCTTTAGCTCCCTGGCCTAACCTGGTAGATAATGATGCACAGAGCAATCATCTTGGACAGTGTGTGATTAAGGAGGGAAAATCCAGAGACAGAATTATGCCACAATGCCTTTCCTTGGAACTGTGTTAATGGGTTTGCGCTCAAGTGTGCATGCATGCGTCAACAGTTTCTTAGGCATACCTGAAATATTGGCATATACTATATCTCAGTCGGGGAACAATACATTTATCTTACTAATTTTACTCATCCAGCCACTGTACCTTAGCCTGTTCCCACTGTATGGCATGACAACTACAGTATAAAGGAGTTGGCTACAGCATTTACAGTAGTATGGGACCAGACTAATTGTACCTGGCTGACTTTCGCCAGACGAGTTGGCTAAAGCTGAAACACACTGTCGCCCAGGTTATGTCTCTCATAACCTTGCTGATTTAAAGGAAAAATTCACAGAAAACCACTAATTCCTATAATGTGAGAACAATATTTTCTGTGAACAAATGTTTCATTTTGTCGTTATAACAAGGGTGGTAGCAACTTGAATATCTTTGCGGAAATCTGTTGCAGCTCAAGTCGACTACCAAACCCACAATGCAATGCTCTCTCTATGGGCTGGCTGGCTAGCTAGCTAGCTACCAAACATAGCTACACACAATAATACCAAAGTCATTATCAGCATGTGAAGTAGCTAGTTAGCTGTAAAATTGCCTAAACAAACTGCACTATCAATTCTGACATTCACAACAATACCATGCAATGCACTCTGGACTGAAGAGGCAGACAAATAGGAGAAATGTGGTGGACCCTCTGTTAAATTATACATTTGTTGAGGTAGGAATATCACCAAAATATGAGCAATGGCTCATTCGAAAGAAGACAACCTCCCTGCGGTATGACATCAGGCAGTATTGAAATATGACATGTATGATAGACGTTTTCACGATCTAAAAGTCGTATTCCTATTAACTTCTAGTGTAGTGAGAGCGGCTTTATCGCAATGCTATGTCATAAGGGCTGAGTTTCTGCCTGCTTGAACGGCAATAGCTCAGATACACATGAAAACATAACATGACCCCGTGAATCAATAGCACAAAAACAATTTAACAGTCAAAATGGGTGAATCTTTCCTTTAACTCTACTTACAGATGGCACAGTAATAGTGCGGGCACAGCAAACTATAATATGATGGCACAGCAGAATAGAGCAGCTACCTGGTTAGCCAGATGCCCACTGAGTTGAGAGATGAGAATAGCAGCAGCAGTCCCCACTCTCCCTCCACAGTGGGCCTCTGCTGCAGTCAGCCAAGCCTCTGATTTAGGCCCTAAATAAGGGGATTTCCACACCGCTCAGTCTCCTGTCTCACCCTCTGGTGTGTATCTGTGTCTGTGAGTGCGTGCGTGCCTGTGTGTGGGCTTCCTTATAGGGTTACTAACAGCCTGGTTAAAAAAAGTGGCCTCCTCCTCTTCTCTGTATCTCCTGGGACAAAGCAACATAAAAGAAGAACATTCCAAGCCTGGAATGCATGTCATGGAAGTTTCGTAGCTGAGGAACCTCATTCTACCACGTTACCACATTCCTAGAAAATAAATGGAGGAAATTAACAACATGCATGTTACTGGGTATTGTGCAGTTTATTACAAAGTGTTATTGTATCCAACTTTTCACCTTTGCATGTTACATTGTGGTCATAATCAGAAGTTTACTGCTTTAGCTTTGCATTGAGTACTTTGCATACTGCTAGAAGAAGACACCTCTTTCAGTAACACTAAGAGGCATCCCATACATTGATTCAGTGAGAACATAAAGTAACCTAAGCAGCATGATTGTATCCTTCATAGTTGTTATAGTTGTGACTTCAAATGTTCTTTAATGTCATCAAAGGCAATTTGAAATGAGGATTTTTAATGATCCTTTATGAGAAGCGCATAGGGTGTTTTTTGTTGTGGTGCGAGCAGGCTCTTTTGTAATAGGTCCATATTGTATGTCTGGTCAGACTTGTTTAAGTGCAGCCTTCAGTAGCGTAACAGCCACAGTCTGTACTAGGAGTGCACTTCTCACACACTGAAACCTGGTCTGGAAAGTCCCTGACACTGCGCTACACTGCTCTACACTGCCCACTATCTGCATAGCCTACGTACTGCAGCTGGGCTGCTAACATGCAGTAGGTGCTGTTATAGGCTTTGGGGTTTTGCTCGATTTCGTTTTCGATTTGGAGGTTGGTTCTGTTTGGGTGTGGCTTTGGTCAGAATGTGTTGCACCTGTCGCCCCGTTAGTCAATCGTTAGTTTCACCTGTGCTGGCACAGGTGATATTTAAGAGCGGCTAGCCCAGTGCTCCAGTTGGTATGAGAGATGTTGGAAGAACGACGCTGCTGTTTAGCGCTTCCTCTTTAAGTTGTGAAAGAAAGCCTTTTAGCTTGTCTCACCTGTTTGGTTTACTCCATGTTTATTTGCACCCTAAGTTGGTGTGAGTTTTCTTTTTCTTTAGTTTGTCTGATATCAGGCAAATCTAGTGGGCGTGCGTCCATGGTGGATGTTAAGATCCTACTCGAGTTTGCTTGGACAGCACCCAATCAGTAGGCACCCCCATGGATGCCTTTCGGAAACCATTTTAAAACCCCACCTGTTTTGTTGTAGTTGTCAGTGGCTCATTTGTTAGTTTCCTATTTCTGTTGAAAGACAATTTTGGGTTTCTTATTGGCGAACGTAACAGTACCATAGCTGTCCATGCTGACACATAATATGCAACCATGCATTCACAAACTATATTGAACCATGCATTCACAAACTATATTGACCTGCAACTGCTGAATGGGGGCGTGCCAGGATAACAACCTCTCCCTCAACATGATCAAGACAAAGGAGATGATTCTGGACTACAGGGAAAAAAAAAGAGAACTGAGCACGCCCCCATTCTCATCGACGGGGCTGTAGTGGAACACGTTGAGAGCTTCAAGACCCAACTGGCTGCAGATAATGCACTTCACAGACAGACTGACTCCCATGCATCCGCCCATTGCTCTGAATCTGCAGCCGGTGGCCTGGCTTGAGCTGGTGCTGACTCTGTGTCCAGCTGA